TCTGTAGGGTCACAGCCCAGTGTGACTGCTCAGGTCAATTAGCCAGAGTCATTAACTGCAGATACTTCCAGGCTGTGGGTGGAGTGCTCAGGAGGGTCTGTGTGTGTGTGCTGGAACCCTCCCTGTGCCTGGCAGCAGGGTCAGGGGCACTGAGCTCCTCCCCACGCTACTGCTCTGACCTCAGCTTCTGTCAGGCTCCCTTAAGGACATCTCTGGGAGCCAGAACCAGCCTGCCCAGGAGACAAAACAGGCAGATCCTGCTCAGCATCCCTCACTGAGGCAGGGAGGGATTGCTGTCAGGAGCCAGAGTCAGAAAAATTCCTGTTTTTAACAGAGAGCACGATGAAGCTGTAACTCGCGCTGACCATCATCATGTTATACGGAAAGTCTGTTTTCACCAAAGAATCACGGAATCCCAGGGTGTTTTTAGGGGTTGGGATGGACCAGGGGTTGGGATGGCCATTGGTCCAGTCCCAATGCCCTGCTTTGGACACATCCAGGAATGAGATACCACAGCCGCCAATAAGTATTCCTGCATAGATTGTCTGTCATTTAGAAGCTCTCCTGCCAAAGACAAATAATTCTGAAAATTTACATCAGACAACAGACATTTCAGCAAGGGAAAAGCTGAAATCACAATGTTAATTATTTCTGAGAGAAAAAAGTCAGGCCTCTACCTATTAGAAATTAAAAATCTCCTGTATTTCAAATAAGAAAATTGAGACAAATTTTACCTTGGGACACAAGCCCAGAGTTTTTACATCAGCACAGGCTGGTTCAGCTGTTAATTTTTCTTTTCAATGGATTTCCAACTTTATACTTTACTTTCATTCTGTTGATTTTTCTTTTTTTTCCTGCTGGTTGCAGAAATGTTCTTTTTTCCCCGAATATGGTCTCTCATTCCCAATCCATATGATTATTTATTTTCCCAATAAAGAAGAATGCAGTTTATCCAAGCACTAAAAATTGATTTAGATATTACAAAGACATTTTAGGTACAGGCTGTAACAGCTGTAAAGACATTGGCCTGATTTTGGCTTTAAATTTCCTTGACATTTTTGCAAATAAGGCTGCCTGGAAGAATTTGCTCCTGGGCATTTCACTATCACAAGGAATTTAGAAAAAGTAGTCACCATAATTTGTTTGGAAAAAACATTTTCATTTCTTGTTGGGGCATGGAGGGAGCTGTAATGTGGGAGGATACATGTTCTATGTTCTTTTGATTAAAATTATTTTGATGGTATATTGAGTAATTAATCTGTTTGAGATTAAAATGCTATATTCATATCAATTACAATAGATACATTGCCAATATACTTAAATTTGTAAGAGACAGGGCATTCTATGCTCTATTCTATTAATTTTATAGTATATAATCTTGTAAAATATTCTATATATTTAATTTTCTGGCAGAATCTCGCTGATTTTAAGTACAATGCTTTAAAGACAATAAAATACAAGCTCCTGATTGTCACCTGCCTATCCATGTTTTCCTGTTACTCACTTGTTTGGTGCTTATCCAATTTTGCTTTGCAGTTTTGTTCATGTAATTGGACACAACTCCTCTTTTAAACCACACTTTTGTTGTGAAAAGATGTCTCAAGATACCTGATGTTACAAGAACCTTTATTTCACTCTTACAACAGCAGATTCTTTTTGTAATTCAGGTTGTGTGTGAAGAGCATCTGACCTGGTTTTGCCATAGCAACCGCACCTTTTAATTTTTCCAAAAGAAAAGTGAAAACCACTGGAAATTAGAAAGCCTTATTATTAATTTTGGGAAAGTTGTCCTTTTATTTACCATTGTTTTGTCCTTCAGCAGGGAAAACATTGATTCGAAAATCTCTTGCTGATAACAAATTATCTGTTACAGTGAATCTCTTAAACACTGTTGGGAGAGGAAAGATAAAAATGAAGACCTCATTCTAAAAAAACCATTCATGGGTACAACAGATAAATTACATTTTTCTATTTATCCTCTAAGTTCCCCACTTTGGAGTGAGTGAAGTGTTGCCAGTTTTTATAGATCTGTACTTTATTATAGCCTTGGCTCATGCTGCAGAATTTCTTATTAATGGCACCATGTGAGGGGGAGGAAGATCATTTCAAGGTTTTAGGGGATGCAGAACTATCTAGGGCTCAACTTCTGCATTGGAATATGAGCTTGTCCCCCACATCCACAGCAATTTGTCTGTCTGCACATCAGCTGAACCCAGGGCTGTCCCTCACTTGCCTCTTGTGTCATCTTTGTGCCTCTTGCAGCTCCAGAGGCTTTTCCTCCTTCTCCTGGCCCCCAGCAGGAAGTTTTTCCCAGAATGCTGAAGGCTGCCTGCATTCCAGCAGCACTCATTTCACCCTTCCACTTCTTTTCCATGGATGTTATGTCTTCAGGCAGGACTACACGTGTTTTTCCTCTGCTCTGGCTATTAGTGATGGCTAATACTCAATAATTCATATAATAATGGGCTAAAGTGGGTCTGGTTCTGCTCTGTAGGAATCCCTTTTCACCCTGCACTCACAGACAGTGTTCCAAGGCAAATTTCATTTCCCAAAAGTGTTGATTTGCATCAGCTGCTACTGCCATAAACACATGAAATCACTCCATGGTTGAAATGCCCAACTTCCTCCTTACAGTGCCTCTTTCTTTCTAGAGCTGGAATTGGGAGTGTCAGCAGATCTGACAGATTAATAAAATACCAAATTAGGAAAGTCTGTCTCAACGTCTAAGTAGTTTTTGTTCTGAGCATCTTGCCAGTTTGTGGAGTGAAATCCAGGACCGAGATTCAGTGCTGAAAACTCCTCTCTCAAAAAAAAAAAAAAAAAAAAAAAGCTAATTACTGACAATAGGACTCTCACTGTCTCACATTTGGAAATTTCTTTTGGCTGGAGTCCTACTCTCTCTTTTATGACAAATTAAACCGCTGTACAGTTGGATTCTACAATGATTCTAATATATATATATATAGGTTATTAACTTTTCCTGGTTCCACTTCTCATATCTATGAAATGCTTTCTTTTGTGAGCAGATGTTACATTGCTAAAAATGTATTGGAAGCTGCTGAATTCCCCATTTATACTGGATGGATGATGTTTTGTGTAACACTGAATTATCAGCTGGACAATGTGTGTTAGTTAATGTGCACAGGCTTTAAATATTTTTGACAACACCTGGAATACAGTAGCATATTTTTTTATTAATTATGCCCCATGTTTATATTTTTTTTAAAAGACATGCTAACATGTTTAAATTCGGCTCTATTTTCAGTGTAGAATTTTGGTGTCATCCAAGGTCAGTGCCCTCCCCCAGTATCCCATAACTTGCTAGGTTTATAGGAGTTATAGGTTATAGGTTTTCTCATATATGTCAGAAAGGTGCTTGACAAATGGTGCATTTGGGACCCCTCCAGGTGTAGGACTTTTCTTTAATGGATATTTCCTGGGACTTAGTATGTTCTTTTTACTGTGGTGGTGTGGAAATGTGCAGTTCATGGCATCTCTCTCTTGGAATATACTATATTAAAAGGCTTAAAAGTGACATAGTTATAAACATTTTGCTGTGAAATGCCTCTGTTAATAGATGGCCATGCTCTGTAAGTGATACCACAAATAGCTGAGTATTGCATTAATAAAACCCTGGTAAACATTTACTTTCCAATGCAGTTTTACAGCTCCTGGTGTCTCAAACCAGACTGCTTTCACCTTACCAAGAATTGGGTTTTTTTGCAGCTCTGATTAATTTAATTTTCATCCTGCTTAGTACTAGTGCAAATCAAGTTCAGCTTCAGTGCCCCTGAGTCACAGCAGCTGCACTGATCCCGAGTTCAATTGCAGCCAGGCAGGGACCAGGGTTTTAAAGTCTGGCAAGGTTTTAACAGTGTCAGAAGTGCTGGTATTGAAGACCATTAAAGCAGCTCTCCTTTATGTCCCTGTGCACTGAGATACCCTGCAGAGGCAGGATCCCAGGTACTGGAATCCCTCGGCAGAGAGATAGATTTGGGCTGGTTAGCCTTGATTGCAGCAGGGGCATTGGGGCTGAGCTGGCACTCAGTGGATGGAGCTGGGCTGATTTTGGGAAGCTCTGAGCACCTGTGCTGTGTGTCTGATCCAGATTCCCAATCAACCTGGTTTTGTTGAGGTATCACCTTTGTCTCAATATTAATGTACAGCTTCTTTCTAACAGTACATTTATAGTCCTCTAATACATAGTAAACTACAGTGGTTTGCAGGAACTTCTATAATAATAATAATTTAAACACCATAGCAAGTATTTTTAGGGTCCTTCCATCACCATAATTCACCTCCAGTTGCTTACTTATACAATTCTTGCTCTGCAGGCTTTGTCACAATCCTTTCTGAGTCCTAGAGTTAATATCAAGATAATTAGAAGTGCCAGATAAAAGCCTCTTCTCCTATTGACAAATCGTTCTCCTCCATATTGTTGTTTTCTTCTATAGAGAGAAAGATCATTGAAATGTTTCAAAAGGCATCTCCATTGTAGATCTCACCTATGGGAGGTTCAAGTGTTTGCTGTGTATTCAAGCCCTTAAATCACATTACTCAACCTGCATTGCAAATCCCTGGAGCTACCCACTAAATCAAATAACATGTTTCCTTAGGAGGCAGGAAAAACAGGAGATATCAAAATATGTATTATTAAAATCCATTTCAGTGTGGGTGCAATTTGACAATGTGTTCAGCACTTCATTTCAGCAGACAAGACAGTGGGTTTTTTTGGTAGTGGTATTACCATGTATTTATCCTTGATTAATCCAGCAGTGAGAACACTGAAAATGGAAACAAGGAAACTTGTGGTATAAAAAAATAAATTGGGGAGTGGTTACAAAGACTGAGGAGGGATGGTCCTGCTTAATGGTTACTCTGTGCCCATTTTGGGGGTACCAGCATTAGTTATTTCCAGGGGTTACTGAAGGTGTAATGCAAGAATTGTGTATTTGTGTGAGGAGGCAAAGTGTAACACTGCCTGTGTCTGCCCTGTTTAGTGCTGAGCATCGGAGAAGGCGGATTCTGGGAAGGCAGCACCCGGGGACATATTGGCTGGTTTCCTGCAGAGTGTGTGGAAGAAGTTCAGTGCAAACCAAATGAAAGCAAACCAGGTAATCACATCAAGCCCCTGTTGAACCCTAATGTGACAGATGCTATGTGTCTGACCCAACACACACATCAGGGCCTTTGTGCACTGCTAGAAATGGGAGAATTGGATAAAGCTGAGCTGCTGAGCTAAAAAATACAGGTAGATTTATTGATTGTATTTACTGTCCAAGCAAGCAGACTTTCTCATGAGGAACTATGCTGGGTGGTACTAAAGCCTTTACACAGAGCTGTATGCAGACATTTTGTATAGGATTATGTAGGTTTTTTTTATTTTCTAAAGTGTGGGAGAATGTCTAATGAGACAAATAAATAAGGGAAGAAAACCTGGTCAGTCATCTCCCAGCCTGAGGGAGTCATACAATGCATTTAGCTCTTGTTCACAGCCCTGTTGGCCTTTCCCTGAATGCTAGAGGAAGCATCCTTTAGTGGGATATCCCATACCCATCCTTGCTGATGACAAAGGAAATGGAATCCTCCTTTGTCACACGTGTATTGCCACAAGTAACTTTAAGCAAGGAGCCTTTATAGTCCTGGTATAATAAAAGAAATGAAATCTACATTAAAGCAGGTTATTTTAAGAATTACCTACCATCTCATCATTTCTCTGCTTTTAAGAATTAAGATGTGAGGACATCCTCTCTAATTAAAAGCTCATTATAAATGAGCTCTGAGAATATAATTAATGTTCTCCAGGAGTGTATGAAGTCTGAAATCATCTATTGATGTGTTTTTAGATCTCTGTTGTATTGATTAAGAACTTCTGGCATTGCACAGATGATACACTAAAATTTATGCATTGTATCATTCATTTACAGATGTTTTTCTTTTATGCATGTCATTATCAACTGCAAGGTATACTTTTCTTTTTTCTTTTCCCTATGTGGAGAGGTTGTGCTTCCTTTTCTATCTCCCTTTTGGGAGGGGAAAAGAGGAGGAGGGAAAACCAGATCTAATATTTGGAGAGAATGGATCCAGGCTCTGAGAATAGAGGGAGAACAGTTCTGTAGCTCTTCAAAGGGCTTGAGAAAAGTCAGAATTCAGAGATGGAAAGGTATTAAACAAAAGGAAGATTGAGGCTGGAATTGCCCTGTGTAGGAACAGTAACCCTGCATTAAATTTGAGCTATCATTTGTCTCCAGATCTGTAGAAAATTCTGAGGTCATGAAGTGAAGTTTAAAGATAAGAAAGAAGTTTTGCATCTTTTTAGTTGTTTTGAAGAGAGAGTAACCAAAAGTGTTTGTTACAAATCCTTAAAGACTTCCTTGAGAATTTCTTCAGGAGGTAAATTCAGTATGTGACAGGATTGTCTTAATAGATGATGATTGTTTTTTGAGCAAGAATGTCTTTGATCATTCGAAGGAACACAAAAATTAAGAAAAGAATTGTCACAAGAGGAACAAAAGGATTATGAAAGCTGGAAGCAAGAAAAGAATATAAACAGAAGCATGTTACAAATTTTCTGACATGAAATTATGAAGACTTATGCCATGTGTCTGGCAAAGCACCAGACATTTACTGTAATTTATAACTATTGCCTTCTTTCTGATTATTTTCCTGTTTGCTTATGGTACAGTGGGAATATTAATGTTAACATAGCTTAAGGCTTTAAATATGCCATTCTTCTACTCTAAAAAGGATGAAAATGTAATTAAATAAGAACAAAAGGGACACATTTTCTCTGGCAGTGAACTTGTACACTCCCATATTTTGCTGGGCTGTCTCAAAAAATGTCCTGCACCCAGAATGAGGTTCAGTGCTTCTGTGAGTAATGTGATAGAGGCTGGAGCTGGGAGGGAAATGAAATATGTGGAATGCACAGTATGTGCCATATTATTATTGAAATATGGCATGGAGCGAAAGCAGCTGATCACAGAATTGCTCTGTGCATTCCCTCTACATAGGAAACAATGGGAATGAAAGGGAAAAGCTTTATAAGCAAAAATCAGCCAGTATTCCCTCTGAGTAAAAATGAAGAAGTAATTTAGAAAAATGTGTTAGGCATGGTGAAATGATTAGAAATTAAATTAGGTCTGTTGGGATTGCTGAAAGAACATCAGCTGAGAAACATCACAAACTTGTGCCTCTTGCAAGAATTTGCATCGTGGTCTTTGCAAAGCAGCAGAACTTCTTATGATAATGATTTAGAAAGTAGATCATTTAAATGTGGAGGAAATGAAGCTCAGACTCAGCTTTTTCCATACCAGCACCACAGCAACAGTTCTTTCCCCTCAACAAGATTTAGGAACATTTCTTCCAGCAGCTTCCCTTTGCCATTAAGTTTGAACAATTGTGTTTAATAGAGGCTTGTCATTTGCACGCCATGAGTGAAGGAAAGAGGAATAGTTCTTGGAAAAAACAAACTCCAATTAAACACTCCAGGCCCAGTAAAACTGCTGGGCAGGTGTTTCATGTCAGGCTGATGTATAATCTTCCTTCTAAGGAAAGTTCCATTTTTAGGGAACTTTATTGCAATCCCAAATGTTCTCTGGAAGTGGGCAGGGCAGAACAGCACCTGGTTCCTGTGTTCTCCTCGAAGATACCATGCCAGCTTGGCAGGTTCTGTTTTCCAAAGAAAATCATATTGACTGGCATTAATTCTACTTCCTTTCTTTTATCCTCCATTAATTGAGACTTGTAGGAATTGCTGCATTATTTTGCTAGGGTTGATTCCAGGTCTATGGGCTCCCAATTATCCAGGTTGTCTCATTTGCCCTCTAATGGCACCAGCACAGGACCTGCTGCTTTCCAGTTTAAAGTTCCCTTGACATTTTGAGATCCAATGGAAAAAGAACAACAACAAAGAAAAGAAAATCATTATTGTGGTCTGCTAAATTCTTTTTTCTGCTTTTAATAAATTCTTACAAACAAGACTTTTGTGCTACCTTGTTTTAAAAAGTGCCAGTTTTTGGCATTTTGTAGCCAGTTTTTAACATTCTGCAGAATTATTCTGAGAGTAGAAATATTCCCTCAGATGAGATTGGCACATTATCTTATCTTGCATTTTACCTGCTCAAACAGAGAATATAAATGTCACATATTTACTCTTTCTGCATTGACAGTTATCTTGTGTTATTCAGAAATGAGCCAATTCCATTTTGAAATGTCTTTCTATTCCAAAATATGTTAAATTTTTTTTTGTTTGTTTTTTAATTTTTTTTCTAAAATGTTCTGGGTAAGTTGAAAAATGTTTCTCCTGCTTTAATTTATATGTTTCTGTTTGCCTTCCATCATAAGGTATTACATGAACTTGAGAGACTTACTACATAAATGCTTTCTGTTACACTTGTGATTTTATGCTCCACATCCTTCAGTATTTGGGGCTATCTGATTGCCCACAACTGAGGTGAAATATTCATTTTCAGGCTGGAAGTTATCTTTAGCTACACTCCGACTTTATAATTTATTGTTCCTCCCTCCCTAAAGTGCCTGGAGAACTCCCAAATTTTACCAATGATGCTGATATAAAGGCAGACTCAGCGTGTCTGAGAGATTCTTGCTGTCTTTCAACTCTTGGCCTCCCCAGTGCACCTTTCCTTGAGTTCCAGCCTCATTTTTTATATTTTCTTAGGATGAGTTTTCATTCCATGGCCTCCTTTGTGCCTCTTTCTATCCTGTGCCCTTGGGATACACCTTATTAGTAGCTGTAGGAGTGCTGGGAGTTTGTTTCAGATTAGGTCTGCTGCAGGCACGTGGCTGCAGTGACCATGAGCAGCTCTCCTTTTTCCAGGCAGGATCAAATCTGTGCCAGTCCCGGGGGCAGCACTGGCAGGGCACATTCCCAGCTCTGCTCTGCCCATGGAGCTGTGCCCGTGCTGACCTCTAGTGTCACAGCAGGCTCTGCCAGGCTCCACGCTGCCTTTTACTCTCCAAGGTGGCACAGAGGCATGGGATATTTGTGTTAGGAAAGGCCTGTATCAGGAATAGTGTGGCCAGCAGGAGCAGGGAGGTCATTCTTCCCCTGTACTCTGCACTGGTGAGGCCACACCTGGAGTGCTGTGTCCAGTTCTGGGCCCTCAGGTTGGGAAGGACATTGAGACACCTGAGCAGATCCAGAGGAGGCAACAGGGCTGGAGAGCGGCTGGGAACACAAACCCTGTGAGGAATCACTGAGGGAGCTGGGGGTGCTCAGCCTGGAGAAAAGGAGGCTCAGAGGTGACCTTATCCCTCTCTTAAGCTCCCTGAAGGGTGGCTGTGCTCAGGTGGGGTTGGTCTCTTTCTCCAGGCAGCACTGACAGAACCAGAGGACACAGTCTCAAGCTGCACCAAGGGAAATAGAGGTTGGATATTAGGAAAAGGTTTTTTATGGAAAGAGTGATAAAGTACTGGAATGGCCTGCCCAGGGAGGTGGTGGAGGCACCATCCCTGGATGTGTTTAGGAGAAGGCTGGATGTGGCACCTGGGTGCCATGGTTCAGGTGAGGTGTCAGGGCATGGGTTGGACTCGAGGATCTTGAAGGTCTCTTCCAACCCAGTCATTCTGTGAATTTTGTGAACTCTGTGACCTCAGTGATCACCAAGACCATCCTGTCAGCCAGACTGAGTGCCACCTCCAGTCTGAGCACAGTGCCTGTGCTTTTGTTTGGTATCCCTCATTCCTGAGTTTCCAGCAACTTGAAAACGTAGAGACAGATTATCCAGGAATAGCAGAGTTCCCTTGCAATTTCTTTTTTACCTATGTAACTGTACACAGCTCTTAAAAGCAGAAACTGCAGCAATCCTTGTCCAGCATTCCCTCTCGATCCCACAAGCTACCAAACAAGTCCAAGCTGTGTTAATAAAATGAATCCTTTTGCTGTTTCTGAAGCAGAGAATTTTCTGTTTTCCACATTCTTAGTTTTTAACGCCCCGTGCGTTCAGTAAAACCAGATTTGTTCCTCATTTCCACCATCCCTTTTTATAATTAGCACAACACCTTCCCAGGCAGTCGAGCCAGCCAGGCTGCTAGAAAATGGATTTGCCTTGCTGCAGGAAGGAAAGATGCTTTACTGTGGATTGAGGAGCTG